TTGTCTAATGAATTTTGGTAAGGGTTGTCGGTCACATACCCTTGCATTAGCTCTTGCAGCTGGTTGTAGACAGGTCCCAGAAATCCGTAACTTGTTTGACAGTGTTGACAAACTTACTTGGTTTTTGGGTGGCAGTGCCAAACGAAAGGCAATCTTTAAGTGTAGCAAATAATAGTGATGATGATATTAGTGAACTTTTAATGGATGAATTAGGCGAATTAAATATCGAGACATGCAAAGGCCGTGAAAAAACATCAGTGCCCAAACTGTGTGTTACACGCTGGGCGGCTAGGGTTACCACGCTGTCAGCCCTGCTTGTCAAATACAAGATCGTTTTAGAGTCCATGGAAGCTATTAGGGATAGAAGCAATGGTGATGCAAAACGAGACGCATATGCTCGTATGTTAATTGATCCCCAATTTATAGTGGCACTGGTTGTGGCTCAATTCATTTTGAGTTACTGTGCTTGTGTGACAATAGCACTACAGTCAGTAAATTGTGACTTGGCAAAGGCATACAAAGACATAAAGCTCTGCAAAGAAGCCATTCGCAAATCACATTGTGATGACAGATAGGACAAGTTATGGGAAAGAATAACTAGCATTGCAGATGCCTTGAATATCACAATAACTAAACCCAGAACTTCAGGCAGACAAGCTCATTGGTCTAATGCAGGACAAAGTTCTACTCAGACGCCCAGCGAGTATTTTAAGATGAATGTATATTATCTTTTCTCGGATCATGTCATCCAAGATCTTGAGACGCGATTTGCTGATCATCACTGTGATCTGATAGCTGCACAAGCACTTTTACCATGATGCAACATTGGTCAGCACACATCAACCCATGTGACCTCATTTAACAACTACTATGGGAAATTGTTGCAAAGGGGTGAATTTTTGAATATTGAAATTGAGAAGTGGATAACAAAGTTCAGTGTTACACCAATTGAGTAACGCATAATGATGCTGTTTCATCTCTTGCTGTTTGTGATGTCAACTATTTCCCAGCCATCTACAAAATTCTCACAATATTCTTTACAACACCTGTCAGAAGCGTGTCATGTGAACGTTCTTTTTCTGCACTTCGACGGGTGAAGTTATGGACACGATCTAGCATGATGGCTCAAGACAGACTCAGTGCTTTTGCAATGTTACTAGTACACCGAGACACAGACATCATTCCTTTCCCAGAAGCTAACTGGAGATAAATTAATATGCTATCGCTAAAGTTGTAAACATAAACTGTGTATTGTACAACTATCAATTGTATTAATCTGTTGCTTATATATGAAGATAGAACAAAAGTGTTTCAGGTATTAAAGTTCATACTGTAATATCCCGTGTTTTGTATATATTCATAAAATATATCAAGATGATTTGTTAAAAATAGATAGATATACCCCCCCCCCCCCATAGCCATTAACTTATGGCGCAACTGCACGCTTCTGAGTCTTTATACACTTATATACGAAACTTAAAACAATACATTTGCTGCCCCCTAGTGAAAAAAAGCTAGCTACGGCCCTGTCTGTGCATGTGATTACATTCAAACTTCACACATACATAATATTATACATATGCACATCAATTTGTTTCTTGATCTGATTCAAGATGGCGGAATGACGACCATTTTGTGCTGGAAAATCATCAAAATCAAGCATTTATGGATAGATTTTGTTCAAACTTTGTATATACAATGGATATTATGGGATTTTGATGCACAACATTTTATATCTCATATCGGATTTTGTTTTATTGAATGCAGTTCTAGTGCCATATCTCTGCCATTTTTTGACTGATTATGTTAAAATTTTATATATTCATTAGAGATCATGTCATTGATACAGTACAGTTAGCGCGTAAGCTTTGGCGTTTGTGGCATCATTGTCGCCTCAGCATCGCATCATTGTGGCATCAGCTTCGCATCATTAAAAATTGAAGCTGTGTTTGCCTCGCTTATTTTGTGGCATTATCGCTTCGCAGTCTCATGGCATCAACATGGCATCAGCTTCAAAGTATTGTGACATCAGTATGACCTCATTATTTGCACACAGAAAGGCAGTAAAGAAAAACACATCTACAGAAGATCAATATATAATCGATTCAAATAAGCAAGCCCAAGAACTAGCTTGAGTTCACACAAACTTCAGTAGGATTTTATAGTCCCTGTCTCAGGCACAGCCTGAAAAAGGGAGTATAGTTTTTTTTAGTCCCCGTTCTGGCCATTTTGTTTTAAAGAATTTAGTTGTGGATTCGTATCCGAGACATTTTATAGATATACATATGTATGTATGTATAAATGGCTGACTGGTGGCCATTTTGTTTTATTTAATGCTGTTCCAGAGCAATATCTCTCAACAAGTACTCGTTTGACGATCAGATACAAGATGACTGAACGTCAATCATTTTAATGTTAAAAACTCAATATCAAGCATATGTATGCTTCGGGATCCATACCTCTGACATGTTTATGTTCAATCTATATTACTATAAACAAAACTATATATCTGTTCTATGCATGGTTTGTGTTTCAAAGAGTTCATTTCCTGATTCAATTTGAGATGCCTAGACTGCTCATTTCAAACTTCACATGTACATCAAACATCATACTGGACTAACGCTCATGGATTGTTATCACCATAAAATTCAAAATAGCTGATTGGTGGTCATCTTGTTTAAATGAATGAAGTACCACATAGCCAGATCTCATACATGCATGGACTAAACAAGTTTAAACATCACACATTAGATCAAGTATATCTAGGGTCTATAATACAAACAGGGTATTATGTCATTGACAATGACTTGTTTATCAAAGGTCACATCGCATTCCCTAATAAATCATCTGCTTAGCTCAATCAGTAGAATCCCCACTACTTGGCTGATCTAAAATAATCAGGGTATTGCCAATAATTAAAAAAAAAACTATTATAAAATTAAGAAGGAAGTTGCACTCCAACATTTGTCATTC